TAGACAGATCTGCGTCAACCTGGAGGAAGGTAGCTAGTGGGGTCCCCCAGGGTTCGGTACTTGGACTAGTGCTTTTCAACATCTTCATCAATGATCTGGATGTGGGGGTGAAAAGCACACTGGCAAAGTTCACCAATGACACTATGCTGTGGGGAAGTGTGGCCATGCATCAGGGTAGGCTGATGATCCAGGCGGACATAGACAGATTAGTTAGATGGGTGGACCAGAACCAGATGCTGTTCAACATTGAGAATTGTAAAGTGCTAAAATCTGCAACAAACTTACAGGCTCAGTGGTGCTATGCTAGCTAGCACCATGTCCGAAAGGGACCCGAGGGTCGTAACTGACCATAAAATGAATATGAGCCACCAGTGTGATGCTACCGTTAGCAGAGCAAACTATACGCTGGCATGCATCAACCAATGCATCTCAAGCAAAACTAAGGAAGTTATTCTCCCACTCTGCTTGGCATTGGTGAGGCCGCAGCTGGAGTACTGCATCCAGTTATGGGTGCCACATTTCAAGAAAGATGTGGAGAAGCTTGAGAGAGTCCAAAGAAGAGCCGCTCATATGATTAGTGGCCTGAAGAGCAAGCCATACAAGGAAAGACTGACAGATATAGAATTGGGCAGCCTAGAAAAGAGAAGACTTCACAGGGAATTGGTGGCAGCTTGCAAATATATCAGGGGTGAGCCTTGCGGGCTAAGCAAACAACTATTCACCAAAGCACCCCAGGGGAAAACCAGGAGCCATGGTCATCAACTTCTAGAAGAAGGTTGCAGACTGGCTATGAGGAAAAATTTCTTCACGATGCATGTGACCAGATTCTGGAATAGACTCCCAGAGGGGGTGGTGCAGGCACCTATCCTGGAGATCTTCAAAAGGAGACTGGATGCACATCTTGCTGGGGTTATTGGACCTCAGCAGTCTTTTCTGCCCAGAGCAGGGGGGCCAGATCCAATGATATCACAAGGTCCCTTCCAGCCCTAAACTTCTGTGAATCTGTGAGATATCAAGGTCAGACTTATCTATAATTCCTCAGATCCTCCTTCTTCCCTTTTTTAAAGATGGGCACTATATTGCCCTTTTCCAATACCTGGGACCTCACCCAACTTCCATAAGTTCTCAAAACAGATAGCTAATGGCTCTGAAATTACCTCAGTCAATTCCTTCAGTACTTGATGGTGTATCCTATCTGACACTGCCAACTTGGAAGCATCTATCTTCTCTAAGTATAACCAACCTATTCTGCCATTATTCTAGGCTGTTTGACTCTATTTTTGACTTTGCTGCAAACTGCACTTGCTATTAGGTAGCTGCCCCGATTTGTGAAGACTGGAGTAAAAAAGGCATTAAATACTTCAACCTTCTCTGCATCAACCACGACTAGATTGCTTTCTGTGTTCCGTAAGGGATCTATGGTTTCTCTGGTCTTCCTCTTGCTCCTGACAAACTTTTTAGAATCCTACTTTATTGCTTTCTATGTCTCTTACCAGTTGCATCTCAAATCATACCTTGGCCTTCCTAATTTTCTCCCTGAATGCCCATGTGACTCTAATACTCTTTCCTAGTAATATGATCTAATTTCCAAGTGGTATGACCAAGTAATATGACCAATCTTTTGAAGGATTCCTTTTTGAGTTTCAACCCAGTGAAGAGATTTCTGTCTAGCCAGGCTGGTCTCCTGTTGTACTTTCCATTCTTCTGTCACATCAGGATATTATAATATATCATAGGGCTTTACAGAGAACCCCTGTAGTTACAATTTCACCAGTGTACCTGGTGACATTTAAGCTAAACTTTGAATTTGCTCTAAAATCCACATACACACACACATACAGATCAACTTGGCATTGGGATGTCCATTTAGGCCATGGTGAAGTTTGATAAACATACTTGGGATCATTTAATTGAATGTTTCTAAAGGGACTTCACTGCAATAAGTGACTTCCTTCACAAATTTTAATTTTTTATGCTACAGATTTGAGCAGAGGAACTGGGATGTTGTAATGGACAAGATTCACATAAAGCCCTGGCATGCCCCTTCTGAGATCTGTCATCCAGCACTGAAGACTCCAAAACTTGATCATTCAAAAGCTATCAGATTCTCTAGTTCTTTAGTGTGGGCAGTTCAACAGTCCTCCTCATACAACTCCACAGATACTCGCAGTGCTCTGAACAGGACTTCCTTTTGTGGTAGCTATTATAGAATCATAGAAAGGCGGAGCTGGAAGAGATGTTGGGAAGTCATCTAGTCCAACCTGCTCATGATAGGATCAGCCCTTTCTAAACCATCTTAGACATGTGTCTGTCTGTTATTGTTCTTAAAAACTTGGTGGATAACCCTCTCACCCAAATACCAGGCATAAAGCTTGAAACACCAAAAATACTTTTTAACTTGCCACAGATAAAGCAGGACGGAAAGTGTGCTGTAAGTGTGCTGCCACTACAAGGACAGCAAGCAGGTGTTAAACAAGCTCAAGACATCCAACCAAGAGAACCACACCCCTGCTACAAAAGAACATAACAAACCCCACGGTCCACTCCACTCCGACCATGGGCAGTCACTCTGACCCTGAATGAAGGAACAAGACCCTCTAGACAGGAAACTCTGGGTTTTTTTAAGTCCCAGCAGGACCACTGGATAATCCTAGTCCAAATCCCTAGCTTTGACTAGGGCGATGTAACAGGGGCCTTCTTGGGGCCAATCTACCAATGCCCTGCCCACCTGTTCTCGACCAACCACCCACCTTCTTTCCTGCCATGCCTTGATATTTAAGTAAGTTGTTAATTAGGTGGGAGGCTACCCATTTCTTGCCCCGATGCCAGGGGGCGCTATCTGCAGCTCCGTTCCCCAAGGGACACTATCTGTGGCTCTGTTCTTCCCCTACACTGCAGACCAAGCCTTGCAGATGGCATCCAGAGTTGTTAACCTCATCAGCCCCACACTGGGCCTGAGAATCCTCCAGTCCAGACTCCTACAAGATCCCTCCACTAAGGTGACCTACTCCGCTTTCATTCTGGGGTACCTAGCTCCCTGAGCTGTTCCCCCTTATAGGTGTTGTCCCCCACAGAACATTTGGCCACACAGGCCCTGGCCTTACCTCCAGGCCAGTCAGAACCCCAGACCCTCAGCTCTGGGTGTCCCTCACAGTGGGCCCCTGGCCCTTTGATCCTGCAGGTCCTGGTCCCAGAACTGACCAGTCGAGGGATTTCAAGTCATGTTTCCGAGTCTATAGCCCCACTCTCTTCCTGGGTCTGCTTTCTGGACCCTACTATGGGGTTGGAGCTAGGGTTATTAAGGCACCCCAACCTGCCTTTCACCAGGGTTGTAACTGGCCTGGCATTTCTTGGAGGCTCCCATGCCACTGGGAGCCCCACCAGGCCACCCACTCCCAGCACGGTGCAATTTTAGGTCATGCCCAGGACCAGGAGCCTCCAAACCATCCCCTACAGCTCCAGCCCTTACCTCCAGGACCTTACATGAAGCCAGGTGATTTAACTGCCTGGCCTGCCAGAAGTGAACTGCTCTGTTTATATAGGCAGGCAAAGATCTAAAATGGCTGTCACAATGAAGCACCTGCTGGCTGCTTGGCTCAGTTCTTAAAGTTGCAGGTACCAACAGTGCCCTGCCACAAGCTAATAGACATGAGTATTAACAGGAGCAGAAAAAAATTCTCCCTGGTATCATTCAGCAACCAGGAAAGCCCAGAGAGCACCACAGGGCAGGGATCAGCAGTTCACTGATAGAGTAGGCAATGTTACTTGAATACAGAATTGCCTGGTTTCAAATTTAAAAATTTTCAATTTTCAAATCTGGGACACTAGTCCAGATCAAGCATGCACGGCTGGCCTGCCATATGTGCCACATATAGCACATGTCCCAGTCCAGTCCTGTATGTGACGTGGAAAGCACAGGGCCAATCCAGCATGCAACACATGCAGCATAAGAGGCCACTTCATTGCAGACTGGCTAACAGAGGTCCACAGAACACATCTGGCCCGTGGGGCATATCTGTGGCACCTCTGGCCTAGATCACTGAAGGGCTGCTTGATAGCATACTGCTGTTTTGCTGAGATAGTATACAACTGGAGGTTGGCACTTCAAAGGGTAATCTCTTTTAATTTGTCACACATTCTTCCCTATTTTCCAGTGCCAAAAGCTACATTTTTGGGGCACCTTTGCACACCTAGACATTGTTGTGGAAGTTGATGTCCTGGGTCTTGGCAGACAAGGAAGAGAACACAGAAAGAGCCCCTCCTTTTTTTCCCCTTTTAGGCAGTGTTTCCCATGCTTTGGAAATCTGAGCCCCCTTAAATGAGGATATTTTCCCCCCTTGTACAGCCCCATTACATGAAAAAGATTGACTTATCCCCTTGAGTTTTAATTAAATTACACTTGGAAGCCTCTCCTTTCATGTCCTGTCCTGGGAAGGACAGCTAATCATATATATCAGCTTGAATATAATTATTTAATACTGACCTAGAACAATACTTTCCAAGATAACTATAAAGTCTACAACTAACTTTACAGTGGCTAAAAAATAATGTAGAAGGGTCTGGACAAAGAAACAAAATACATCATGTTCAAAACATTTGGGAACTTGGCCCATGTCAACTATACCATGGGAACAGGCCATAAATCCACTCTTCCCTCAAGTCAAGTGGAAATGAAACCACTGTAACTTAGTGCTGTTCTTTTGATAGGTATATTACCACAGGTTATTTTCCACTTACTGTGGGGGCAGAGGAGGAAGAGTGAGCACATGGGTAGTTACTGAAGTGCAAATGACTTGCAATAAATCTCTATTCCTTTTTAAACTCTCCACAATTTGTTCATGTCTATATTCTCTCTATCTATGATATGAAGGTCCTGCTGTCAAGCTTCAGACTAGACTTTTGCATCAATGATACTGATCGCAGGTACAGCTTTTTCCCCCTTCTCCCACTATACCAAAAGGAACAGGCACAGCAGACCATAAACAAGGATGGGCTCTTACCTGATAATCTGGTTTGGTGAAGTAGTCTAGGCTTGCAATATGATCCAGAAAGAGGTGAAACTCAGAAGGCATGTGTTTTAGCAGCATTCTATGTTCATACTTCTCTTTTATCATGCCAACTTGCTCCTGCAGAAAAGAAAACATACTAGTTTTCAGCATCACTCTCCCTGTTCCTAACACCTAAGCTTTAGCACTCCTGCAATGGATAGAATAGGCCCTCTAGGACCCTATAGGGACTCACTCATGTCATAATGTTCTAGCAAAATGAGGCTGATTTGCCTGTGCAGGAAAAGGAGGATATTGGATCCAGAGGCTTCCTTTAGGTGCTGTTCTGATGTGCTGCTGGACCAGGGGCAGGCAATGTTTTTGAAAAATCTGCAATGTCTCCCTTGTAAGGTGCCAGAGTGCTGGCATGCCAGAAAAACAAAACCAAGGCAAGGGGTACATGGTAGGATTCACTGTATATTAATATAGTTAATAATCATAAATGTTGCTTTCCTACAGTAAATACCAGGTTTTCTAAAAATTCTAAACCTGGTGACAATACATAAAACTTCATATACTACCTTTGTTGTGTATTCTTTTTTTGTTAAGCATGTTGTGATGAGAGAGAGAAAAAAAAAGAGA